GGCCCCTGTTGCCGGTGTTCCGGAGGCCCACTGGATGCACTACAAACTCATGTATTCCTCCTGCCTCATTTGTCCAGAAGGAGTTGATTGATCATTTATTTACAGAATGCAACCTCCTGATCCGTATTTGGGCGCTGCGTCGAAGGAGACGTGCAGCCACACTCCAGGGACAGTCCCCCTGCATCGACGTCCAAACCGCGCAGGCGTCGTAACTTTGGGGAACTCAGGACACACAGGAGCACCGCAGCCAGAACTATAACATAAGGCGAGTTTAAATTCTACTCCCTTCTTTTTCAACTTCTACATGTAACTGTGGGGTAGCCAAAGTTGTTGGGTTTCGTTGGTTTGCGAGGTGTCCACTCTGGAGCGGTCGACTACAGCGTCTTCATTTTAAACGCCATTTAGTCCACGTAGTGTTACGCCAATGCCTTCATTGTAAAGGACGTATCAGACCTGAGTCTTATCGACACGTTATTTGCCAAGACCGACTTGTAATATGCCTTGTGGAGGCCTATCGACGTGTTCCACAGCAAGTCGGCGGACAGGAACAACGCATAGTTCAGCCCTGTGGTACTATAAGGGTGCAAGAGTGAACATGTAAAGTATGTGCGGAGGTGGCATATGAAACTGTAGGGTCCACACCCGCCCATGAGCTGGCTACAGCGCAGGCAGTATAGCAACGTATGACAGGTGTCGCCGTCCCGAACGGAAGACCACCGGAACCAGCAGAAGAGTCACCACACTCGCACATACTCCCAAGTGTTCTCGACCCCCGTTTCTGTCTCTAGGATCTTTCCACATGCAGCAACAAAGGCTTGATCGGGTGTTGGAAGGCGGTGGCCTGCCCTGAATTGCAGCGCACCTTGCTGCAACTGCTGCTGCAAGCCAATCCCAGACGAAAGCCAACACAAGCTCCCTTTCGCTGCCTGAACAAACACTGTGAACAATTTCTAGATGTTTCCCAAGACCACCCAGTAGCCTGCATACACTGAAACACAAGTACAAGGCCCAACACCGTACCGGGCCCGCTAACGTGCTCACCCATTTGCCCTGGTCTTCCAATGTATGCCGTCTACATTCAGCGCGAGGCAGAGCAGGGACAGCCTTGCGCTTTCTATTGCGACCTTCAAAAAGGGCAGGGCCTGAAAATGCCTCTTAATTCACTTCAGGCTTAATAGCCTTCAAACGCCAAGCGATCGGATAACTACTGCCGTGCCATTAACGAGAAGGTCCAAAAGCAGTTGCATCATCAGTTAGACATATCTACGGTCACTGCCGGCTTTCCGTGAAGAGCAACTGGAGCTGCCTCCCGGCGCGGACTAGCATGAAAGCAATTGCCATCTAAGCCAAGGCAGGCAAACAAGTGTTCACTTGTTGGGTACAGCTGGAAAAATCATAATAGCTGCCGCCTTGTGCCTTCCTCGGGGCTCAAGTGACAACTAAGCCGAGTGCAGCGTGTGCGTCTGATGCCACCCTGAGAAAAGGCAAGGCGGAAGGCTCATGTCGGACCAGCACACAATGCGGGGAGCATGAACAGCAGTTGCAGATAAGCCAGGTAAACGAGCATACAAAGTTATGGGTACCTTTAGTGGTCTTCAACTCAGAAAACTCTGGGCGTTCAGAAACGCCTAAATGCATTGCATACAAATACCCATGCCTATAATCTAACAGTCTACACCCAGATGCAAGCGTCATGATCGTCTTCGTCTGTACGGCCGTGGAACGCCAACGCAAATTGCACGATCCCTGGAAGACATACAGAATTCCCTGTCATCCATTACCCATAATTCCCACAGCGGGTTTGTCAGCTGGCTCTCTGCGCTTGCTTCGGCAATAATTGTCCTTTTCAGTTCAATTATTTCCCTAAATGGCGGCCTTTTTCCTTCTTTATATGTTGCCAGTGCGGAACTCAGTCGATTGACCAGCCTGCTCAGCTCTCTTTCCCTTCTCGTCCTTCCTGTTAAAGGAAGGTGATATTCTGTGCTGAATTTTCGCACAAACTCAGGCCACCAGCTGGGGGTATCCATGTTTTCGCCGAGGAGCTCAATTGAGCAAACCAGGTGGTCAAATAGCATAAACAAAGTGGACAGTTTCCTGACGAGGTAGCTGGCTGTGCATCGCCCATATGTCCGTGCCAGCCTGGTTGTTGCATAGTTTGCTAGCATTTCGGTTTCCTGTAAAAGTTTGTCTATGTCTACAGCCGTCAGCGAAGGCTTCGAAAACAAATCGCGCAGTATCATGTATGAATCCATTGGACTAGCCTTGCCAAGACAAGGCACCAGGGCAAAGTCTTTACGGAACTTCCTGCGAATATTTTCCGGATTTACCACTGGCAATCGCACAAAAGGATGCAGACAAATGTCCCCAGCGTCACACGGTTCCCCGCCTTCAGAACTAGTTCCAGGCACTGCTGGAAGAGCTGACCTCTCGGAGACGTCCACACGAGCATCAAACCCCTGCTCGCTATGTTCAAGGTGTTGTACTGCTGTCAGCGGAGTCGACGGCACTGCGCTCGCTCGGCCAAGGTCGGCTTGGCGGGTCTGATGATCAACTCTCCCTGCACGTTGAANGACGGCACTGCGCTCGCTCGGCCAAGGTCGGCTTGGCGGGTCTGATGATCAACTCTCCCTGCACGTTGAAAAAACGTTCCCACAGAATGTGCACGGGTAGGAGCTGGCGAAGCTGAGCCCACATTTGGGTATCGCGAAGCAGAGCCCACTACAGCTTGGTGGAAGGCTTGCTCACCTGTCTCAGCTAAGGACTCGTCGAGCCAGGCATCAGGAGTCACACCCTCTTCGGCGCTATCTGCTCTGCTAACGAAGGAGGACGGCGACGGCCTAGCAGCAGCGTCAGCTGCATAAAATGTTGACGACTGCACTGCAGTGGCGGAAGATCCCCGTTGAAGCCCTGTTGTGTGCCGTTGGTGCTCAACTTCATCAACGACCAGCTCAGATTCCAGCCGCACATCTGCATCTAGAGCATCGCCCGTATCACCGACTGCCACTCCACTCGGTCGTCCCAAAAATGCGGCAACAGGCTCTTGTGGGTGCGAAGTCGACGGCGGTGACCCATTAAGCCGAGGAACCTTGGATGGAGGCGAGTGATCGTCATCCTGCAACCTCTGTGAAGCAAGAAAATTCATATTTTCAAAAGCCGCTGCAGAATCATATAGCATACCGACGA